TTAAGTGGTCTGAAAACCCTGTTTTTAAGAGCAAATTATTATTACATTCATAATTTGTAAATATAAAGTCCAATAGAGTGTCCGAGGATGGTCTGGTTGGTTCGAGGCTAGTTGGCTTCAATCCATAACTCAAAAAAGTATCCAGAAGTAAGTTTTTGTTTTTATTATTTTGACTTTCGCTACAATTAATATTGAAGTCGCCCCCAACAAATACAATCTGATATCTCTCTGTCAAACAGTGTAAAACTAAATTAAGTTGGCCAAAAAATAGCTCGGTATCACTGGTGGCTCTATCAGGGGGGTGGTAAATTGATAGAAAAATGGTTTTTTTATTGTTAACTTGTAACTCGCAAGCTGTATACTCAAACACGTGCTCTGTAGAAGGTATTTTAAGTGATACCCCTTTAGTTTTTACATTTTTTTGTGCAAAAATTGCAACTCCTCCGCCTCTGCTAGAGCCACGGCAAAACGAACCCACCAGGCAATAGTTATCAATGCTATACTGCTGGATTTCCTCCTCCGATAGCCAATGCTCACATATGCCCACTATACTAGGTTTTATTTCATCTAGAAGAGCTTCTAGTTGCAAGTTTTTATTGCGTATGCTTCGAGCGTTCAGTTGGCAGATGCGTATTCTTTGGCCATCACAGGAAAACACTACCTTGGACTGCGAATTATTTTGAGTTTCCGAAAAAACTCAGGACTTATTACATTTTGGTAATAGTCGTGGATAGATTTCAGATTACCCACTGATGCAATACTACATGATTTATCAAAGTCATCACAATTCTGACTGCCACGAGCACAACTAGAGGCCTTTTTACACCTATGATCACTAGCGCCAATCACACTTTTTCTTAAAATGTTGTGCTTTCCTAGTTTTCCTGCTGAACTGTCCCATGCTTCTGCCTCCCCAGAATCAGCTGATGTTTTCCGTATGACAGTATTTTTGATGTCTTTAATTGGGCTAAGATTAGTTTGAGGTTTAGCACTTGCTAGTTTTATATTTCGATGTATTACTATCTTTTGTTTGATAGGAGAGTTTTCGCGTAATTTATTTAGGCGGTTTGTAAACTGCTCGTTTTCGTTTATGTAGCTGAAATCTTGCGCAGCAATATTCTGTACGTTGTCGTGCAAATGCGGGTTTTGTTGACGCTGAATAAGTTGGGTAGTTTTTTTTCTAATGCCGGTGTTTCCTGGCACTTTGTTTATTTTGACCAAGAGGTAATTAATCAATTTTACTAAACCTTGGTACTCCCAGCAGATTTTTGTGGTCATTTTTTGTTGTTGCATCAAGCTTGTGCTGATATATGTTATGGGTGTGTTTCTTAAAGATTCTTCTAGATTGAAGTTTGTTTTTTGTATGAATTTATTCAAAACAGGTCTGTTTGTGGAAAAGGGACACCCAGCTACAAAAACTTTTCCTCGTGAACTTGCCAGTTTCCTAAAATCCTTGTTAAGTGAAGTATTTCTACATGCATCCTCATTACCAGTGAAAATTATTAGTAAATCATTTACCCTTATCTTGTTCGCATATGATTCAGCATGGCTAAAGAGGTCATTTATAGTTGCTCTGTGTAAATAACGATAGCTTATGTCATAGCTTTTCCTGGTGCATGCTTTAAATATTCCGACCAATCCCTTCATTTCAGAATTTGTAATCAAAAACGCCTGTGGTTTTTGTGACGTCTTTTGATCACTTTCTAGTGTTTGGTTATTTGGGTCTTCCGCTTGTATTTCACTGGAAGTTTGGGTGCCTTTATCTAGGTGAATTGTTTTTAATGCATTTGAGTACATCACTTCTTCCAAGGCTTCCTCCGTCAGTTCTGTTTGAGTTCCAAGTTCACAGCTGATAGTTTGTGTTCCTGCAGCGTTATTAGTCAGTTTTATTTCAGCTAGGGTTTGTGTGTGTGCCTCCAAAGTTATTATGTTTGTTGTTGTTTTGCTTTCCGTTTCAGTGTCTGTTTGGATTCCAAGTTCACAGGTTGGGTTGCTAATCGTTTGCATTCCAACAGTATAGTTGGCAGGTTTCATTTGAGGTAGAGTTTGTGTTTGTGCCACCACAGTTTTTTTATTTGAATGACTTTTAAGTTCCTCTATTTGCGATTTCAAGAATAGGATTTGGCTTTTTAAGTTACCTATTGTTGACTCACTGGTTGAGTCAAATTGTATGATTTCCTCTTCCAAAAATTCGTTGTGTTCCCGTAGTCTCTTAATATGCAATTCCCTTTCTAAATTGTCCTTTTCTAGCTTTTGTATCAGAACAAGTTGATCTTTCGGTGATTGATCAGTTTGCATGGCACGCTCTGCACAGGCCTGAGAGCACCATACATGGTTTTGTCTAATTATTGTTAGTGATTTTCTTGCGCCACAACTTTTATGTATTATGTTGTGACACTCTATGCATACATAATTATTTTGAGTTTTGTTTCTACAACAGAGGAAAACATTTGCCATTTTTATTTATATTGCGATCCCAGCAGCTGATTTTTTCGCACATACAGATGCTCTGCATCTAGGTGCTGTTGTATATAAAACCATTTACCATTTAGATACCTAATATAATAAGTAGTATATTTGTATCGTAAATTTATACCTTAATAATAATAATAAAGCATCATAAAGGATTAAAAACTTCTTTTGGTCAGAATATTACTCTGGCTTGTCTTGAGACTGTACTGTAAATTTTACATAATTAAATGCATTAAAAAGGTATTTTTTTTTGTATTCAGTGGGATGCGGCTCTTTCTCCTGCAGATCTGATAACAAAAAAATCAGTTGGAAGAAAATTTCCTTGGAAAAAGATCAGTATTTGTTTTGGAGTTGTTAGCTTAGTTTTATTTTGTAAGCTTAATAAGTATAATTAGAAGTTGCTGTTGTTTCTCAATTGAGATTACACGAGTGGTGTATTGCTCTTTAGTTAGATCAACCTTAGAATACTGTTCAGTTGTGTGGTCGCCATTTTATCAGGTTCATTCTCACACACTGGAAAGAGTCCAGCATAAATTTTTACGTATTTGCGCGTTTAAGTGTGATTACCGACTTGGTATCTTGGACCATGATTATGGGGATGCTGAGCAACAACTTTCATTGCCTCCTTTAAGTAAACGCCGAGATAAGTTTGGATCTGTTTTCATATTAAAAATTTTGAATGGTAGTATTGAGTGTCCTGATCTTCTAAGGCAGGTTGGTCTCAATGTGCCCTATTATCATGATCACGTAACCAGAGTTGCTTTCATGTTCCTTTCCACAAAACTTCTTATGGATGTAATAGTCCATTACACAGGTATATGAGCCTTATAAATGGTGCTGACATGGATATATTTAATATAAGGTTACCAGCACTCAAGAGAGCTTTTCTGATGTGATACTTACACTTGGTTACCTAGTTTTAAGTGCATTGTTGGACTTGTTTATAAGAGAGTATACTTATTCTTTTCTTTTTTCTTAAGAATATTTTTAAAGCTCATTTTGATTTGTTCCTAACTGTAAAAACTATGTATATTACAAGTTATGGGGTTTTCCCGTAAATAAATAAATAAATCAACCAAGTGACCACGGCTCAGCTATCACAAATTTCATTAATAAACTGTGCGATTGTTTTGAACCATTCTAGAACCGTCCTTTTTTCGAACCCGAAAATAGCTATTATTATTGTCCTATATTATACACCTATATCCCTACCTTTTCTGCAACAATGTAGTGAGCCTATAGTCATCTAGTTCATACAAAAATGTGTCACTTTTGTTGAGCCAAGTTTGTGCAAGAGCAAAAATATCACATTTATCTTCATGAACAAAACACTGAACTTGATCTATTTTCTTTCTAAGGATCTGTATACCGTTGTAGATCACCTTTAATTAGTTTTTAAATTTATGCTTATCTTAGAGCTTGTCTCTCCACAACTCATCTGTAATAATCCTAATTCGAGAGTTTTCATTAGGAGGATGTTTCCCCCACTAATCCACAAATATTTGGTCCTTTTTAAGATTCCTGGCAGCTGTAAACAATTTTCCAATTTTTCTTGGTCACTTTATCTTCCTGATTATCAAGTATAACTTTTATATGGCAGTTTTTGTTTTCTTTTGCAAGTCGGACAGCAGAAAATTTGCTAAGCATTGGCGCATCCAATTTTTGGCCTACCTTCTCAACAATTTCCACCAAATTTTCATTCGCTCCATAGTTACTCCCGAGGGTATTTGTCTACTTTAAATGAAAAAATATTCAGGTTGTGTGAGTAATTTTACAGACATTTTCAAATGGCTTCTAAGCTATTTTGAATTTATTTAGAAAGATTTTCCTAGTTGAAAGACTTTTTTTCCAGTCTAGTTTAATTCAAGGAATCAATGGTTTCATGTAAGAAAATAAATTCTAACTAGTAATAGGTCTGTTCGCACAGCAATCACAAACCATTCAGAGCAAATTTCATTGGTTGAAAACAGTCAAAAAACTAGTTTCAACCAATGAAATTCACCAAGAAATTCACCCTGACTGGTTTGTGATTTCTGTGCAAACAGACCTAATGTTTAGTTAATAATAATGAAGTGGGGTATGGCCAGAAATCCTCGCAGTTATCCCAATTAAGTTTCAAACAGTAGTGAAATAGGTATTCCTTGCATGTTTATATTAAACCCTTGATTCTCATGAGAATAATTACAATGCCGCTCAGCTGTGTTGAGAACAGGAGTTCAGATCTTGAAGCAGTGATACAAAAGAACCCCCTTAGGAAAGTAAGCATAGCAGTCTGTATTTATAATTCACATTCCAATTAAAACTTGAGAATATTTTGGGCCAGCTCCAGACTCGTTAAGGAAAGCTACAACAGAACAATTGTACAAAAGTATATTTAATTTCTAATAAACTTACTACAGATTCTCAAAAACGCAGATATTCACTGACCTCACAAGTTTTTAGTCTTAAGCACATGTATGAGACTGTTTTTGAAATAATAATGATATAGTTTCAATGTTTTCGTAAAATTATGATTGTTTTTTTTGCAGATGCTGCAACCAATAAGCTTGGATCTCGTGTCACACCTCGACGACGTGAGCCTTCCTGCGGATTTACCAAACCCAATGAAACCAACAGAAAGAGCCAACCACCACGTAACACCAAGACTTTCGATAAGCGTCCCAAACCTCGTGGATATTATTATGCTGGCGCTGTACCTAGAAATGAGGAAGCCGGCCTAGAAGAATTTGATGAGCCAGAATTGGGTTCAGTTTTTTTACCAGGCAGCAAAAAGCAAAGCCTAAACCATTTATTGAATTTTTCATTTGCTCCCAGGGAGAATGCTCACCAAGGCTCTTACTACCACCCTGAAAGGGTTGATGGTAATAAGAAGGGTGAAAAATTGTTGGCCACCAGAAAGCACAAATATAATAAAGAACATTTTTTACAAGCCAAGTAAGTAAGGACTTATTTAAATTCAATTATTCCACACTTTGCACATTATGTATGAACTTGGACATTGTCTTCTAATTTTAATTTCATTTTACATTTTAGTTGCCAGTTTATTGTCAACGAAACAGGAGACTATAAACAATACCTGAATAATCCTGATGCTCTAGTTAACTGGGATCTAGTAGAACAAGTGGTAAGATTTAGTTTACAAATTATAATTCCAAAACCAGCATTATAAATTTACGTGATTATCACAAAAATTATATGTTTACTTCAATTTCAATATGGAACTACATATTTAAATTTGCAAAATAATTCCTACTAGATAGAAACTAGAATTCAAAACTTTGAAATCGAGTTTAAAATATTAGAAAACAGTTAGAATAATTTTCTTAATTTTGTTTTATGATTTATTAAAAGACGAATTCTCAATTTTCTGAAGCAAAACATTATGAAATAAGTCTAGGACTCTCATGACACACATCTTCTGAGTTAACAATTGACTAGAACCCATTAGTATCTTGGATTTCATTGGGTACTTAAATCTAGATTTAAATGTTATGTATTGCTAATTTTTTAATTCTTGGTCTTTCAATTCTTAGGATCTTGCAGAATGATTCTTCATAATTAAAATAAAATAATGATAATAAGTTCATATTAAAAAAATATATGTATATATATTTTTAGCTTCCCATGTTATTTGTTTCTCTAACTATTTTATTTCTAAGCTTCCTACCATGACCATGACAATTCATTATTCCCAAAACATGTTATGTTAGTTTCCAATTTTTAAATTGATTTTTCTTCCAATATCAAAGTGTTAATTTTTATTTACTTTTCAAGAATATGTTTTTCGTTTAGAATGTTCAAGTAAATGAAGAACCATCATGCCCAATTTGCCTCTATCCACCAGTGGCAGCAAAAATGACAAAATGCGGTCATGTTTATTGCTGGCCTTGCATTCTTCATTATTTGGCTCTTTCTGATAAGCCATGGCGTAAATGTCCTATTTGCTATGACGCTATTAAGAAAAATGACCTTAAAAGGTAACAATTTTATGATTCTGTATTTGTTATAATACCTATCAATATATTTTAGTGTGGTAGCTATTCCCCATAAAACCTTTTCTCAAAATGACAGAATTACCTTCAAACTAATGAAGAGACTGCGCGGCAGCCTCACAGCTTACCCTGCCGATGCTGTAGTCCCTCTAGAAGACAGCATTTTCAAAATATCAGACCAAAACAACCAAACCCGTTTTTCAAAATTATTTTTGGCTGATAAAAACGATATTGAAGAAATTATTGGTAGGGAAACCAGGGAATTAGATATCTTGATGGCGGAAGATGATAATTGCCCCGAAATATGTTTCATAGAAGAAGCCAAACAGTTTTTGGAGTCACGGAAGAATCAGATTTTGGCAAACGAAAGTATAAACATTGACCAAATCGATACCAACTTGGATGTTTTTATCAATCAGAATCTAGCTGAAGCAGATGCAGGACCTCAAATGCCCAAGTTTTTTTATTTTTATCAAGGTATGCGTTATCAGATACTTAGTTGTTTACTTTGATCCAAAGTGTTGAGTACACATTACACAAATTGCAAATGTATTGTGAAATGTTATCTTTGGAATATTAAAAAGACTTGCTATAAACTCTCTCGATTATAAATATTGAGAAAATAACAAATCTGACAATAATACTTGCTTTTTGCCCTTGAATTCTTTTATTAGTGCCACTCTGAATGTCACTTTTTTCTAGCTGAAGACGGACAACATATCTATTTACATGCTATCAACGCCAAGATGTTGGAACATACCTATGGTTCACTGGAGTTTTGCCCTAAAACATTGGATGGTAAGTGGATTCAATTTATATCTTAGGAGATGGTTACCTGTTACTGCTGCATTTTAAAATTTTGGGATTTGAATGAACAATGGTTAGTTAATTCATAAATACTATTTATAAAAAGGGCAAATAGAAAATTGAATCATGTTTTACTATAATTTCCATTTCAATATGTGCTAATTTTTTTTCCAAAAAATTATGGCTTTTGAAATTATAAACAAAGCCAGAAGTTGTACATTGTTGAAATTGTATAGATATTTTTGTATGAAGTCGACATGGCCAAATTAGTGTTGGATGTCCACAAAGTTCAGTTTTCGTTTCGATTAATCTCCTTGCCAAGAGAATTTGATTTCTAGAATATAAATGGGACAGCAGTTGGTTTCTTATTATAATTTTATAATAGTTTTCTTCAATAGATACCTTCCACGCATACCAAATGGATTTTTTTTCGGGTCCCAAGTTGTTAACAAAATATATAAATATTTATGGAGTCAATTTAACAGTTATTATTGAAGGAAGGGACTGTTCATGCACAATTTCTTCAGTTTAGGTATTTCCAGATTATTCATGCATATGAAGTAATTTTGGATTTTCATTTTCTGTAGGTCGCATTTTAGAAAAAGAAGGCGGTTCAATGACTGAAGAACTACGCAAAAAACTGAGATATCTGCAGCATTTACCTGTAACATGTCAATTTGAGGTGGCTGAAATTAAGCTTAGTGAACCACAAGTCAATCAGGAAACTTTGGATTATTTCAGAGGTAATTATATATTTATTCATAATAGCCAGTGCTAAAGTTTGAACAGTATTAAAATTTGTATATTCCGCCTAAGATAACTTTTACATTGCTTTATGGATAGGAAATTCATGATATTTTAAAGCCTTGGTAATATAAACTCTCTGGTGGAAAGTTAGTTTTGTTGACAGTACTATATTATAAGAGTTGTCCTTATTTCCAGCTGTACATAGGTACAAAATCTACTATTTATTGAATGATGTTATGTCGAAAACCATATTTTTCCAAGCTTTATTGATAGAAATTATAAGAAGTGATTGCTTGATGAGTATCATATTTGTTTTGTGCTGAGATCATTTATATTTGATGTTTTTAAAAATTAAATCATCTGCATCGCAAAGCTAGGACCATTCACAACTTTGTATTTTTTTCATGAGTTTTGATAAACTTGCAGAGAGGGATCTAACTGTTATTAATTTTGTTTGCTTTTTGGGATATAAAGGGGTGTAAGGTGTAAAGAAAATATATTTTTTAAATTACTCAACATTTTTGAGAGTTTCTGAAACCCTAAAAACGCCATTGATATAAAACAACAAATTTCAATTGTTTCTGACTTACATTGAATTCCACAAGCCAGAATTTGAATGTGAAGATCTTGAGTGAGAAATAAAGAAAATCGTTTGTAGGCATTTGTCTTCATAATTTGGTCTGCTATTCTGTATAATTGGTGCCTAGTTTGGAAAAACTCGGCATCGGAAAAGTCAATATGAAATATTTAGTTTCACTTGTTTGTTTCAGATCAAATTGAACTGAGGCGAAAAAGACGTCAGAGGCGCGCCAAAGAAGAAAAGAAGCGCGAAAAACGAATTGAAGCGGAAGAAAACAAAATAATTGGCATATTTGATTCTCCTGAATTACAATTGGATAGCAGAGACCAATTTCCGGATGTTAAGCAGTCTCATGATATGTTCCCAGATTATTTAGATCACAGACTAAGATCAGAGTCAGAATCTACTTTCATGACTCACAGTGAGAGAAGCATTTCACCAGATTTGGCCTCATCTATATCTGGCATGTCTTTGGAGAATACACATTCTGGCCCCTCATTTGCAACTGTAAGATTTTTACTTTATAATTTTTTATATCCAAGAGGTTGAGTACGCATTACTGCTTTTGATAAGTTCTGTGAAATGTATTTCTTGGAATAGCAAAGGTTTTTTTAATTTTTTTTGTATAACATCTTATGCAAAAATATTGAAAAATCCAACATTTATTCACATTATAAAATTACTTTTTTATTCTTCTGATGTGTGATGGTAAAATAAAATGAAAGTGATCTGTTTCAGATGCTAGCCTCTGAAAATAAACCATCTTGGCCTACACTGAAAGCTAAACCTACCAATCAGCCTTCTTCAGCTCCAGTTAAGCTTATTACCGTTACTGGTCCTAAGATGTCGAGTGTCAATGTAGCACACTGTCCTAGTGATGGGGATGTTGAGCAAGATGGCGATTTTGGACCAGTTCCTGATTTTAATAGAAGTTTTGGTGATGCACTTGCTGAAGCATTAGCTAAAGAGCTAGATGTTGTGGGAGAGGCCGAAAATGATGGTATGGCATGATTTTTTTTAAATAAAAATAGTGAGACTAATCAGATCCTAGAAAACAATTATGGATATTTTCCCATGTACTAATCTCCAAAGTGGGTGTGAGGTCTTTGTTTCTTGATTTTTTGGGTCACACTTCATTTATTTATTGATAAGTTTGCAAACACCTCAGGTAAAGCAAAGTTCCTACAAACTCAAACTTATTAAAATAAGTCTTACTAGCAATGTCTACTTTTCTGTTTCAGTTTCCACAGCATCAGGCAGAAAGAAGAAAAAGAAAAACAAGCAAAAGTTACTGTTCTCAACTCGCATGGCTTACCCAGGAAATTAACTTTTTTTTAATTATATCTTTTAAATAGATAAAAATTCTAGTTTGGCAATTGTCAACCAAAACTTAATTGTTATAGATTGTTTCAGGCTTTATTCTTTTGAAATTTTTGAATGAAATTAATTTTTGTTTCTGTTAGTTATTTTATTTTGCTTGTTAATTGGAATAATAAAGATTGGACTTTTTTTGATATTTTTTAGTTTTATTGCTATTTGAGGTTAGAAACAAATCTGACCCCACTCATTTTGGAAAGGGAACCTAACAACATAGATTTAGGAAATGGACAAAACTAAATATGCCTGACATAGCTGAGTGGAAGATTGCAAAGTGGTAGACCATTTTCGATGTTTTATCAGACATAGAGGTATTGACACCACTTTAGCTTGCTAAGACTTTAGTTTGAGGTCTATCTGAACTCCCGAAAAGGCTGTTTCGCTCCAAAGATGAAAAAGATTAAGAGAGAGTTAACAGATTTTTATTGATTAAACCACAGAGTATAATATAATATCCTTAAAATTATTAACACATAGAAGAACCATTAGGATAAATTCGTTACTGCCTCTTGTAATATCTTACAGCTTCCTTTTGAGAGTTGTGGTGTTTGTAGTTCTGTAAAAAAAATAAGCAAAATAATAAGCACCCATATTTGCATCTTTATTGATAATTACCAAAGTTAGTCCATCATCATTAAACACATAAGTCCTAGTAGTTTCTGATTTATCAGGAGAAATGCATTTAGTAGTCATAATGTTTCCGTCAAGAGTAGTGTTACACTAATAAAATAAAATACTCATTAAAAAAATATATGTTTTTTCATAGTTCAAAGTTATTACTTTCAATACAGCTCCAGGCATAGTTTCTTCATAGTCTTCGCCTAACTTAAAGCTGTAGACAACAGTTCTAAATACGGTACTTATAGTGATGGTCCATTTCTCGTCTTCTGATTTTGTAATTTCCATTGTGGGATTGGAGGCGCCCATCATTTTTCTGGCAATGTAAGGCACACCTAAAAATGGTTTGTACTTAGTCATTATATACCTTGCAGATTGTTGGTTCTCGAGGAATAATTTGTTTACTCACCAACGGTTTTAAAGTAATCATCCAGATTCTCACTTTTCACATGAACATATTTTCCTACTATTTGGGCCATGATTTTTTTGTTGCGAACCTAGTGAAAGCAATTAAATTGGATTAGGTGAGAAGAATTGGTAGATATTATTGAGTTTTTTTTTTTCAATAAGTTCTCACTAGTTACTGTATGATAAATTTATTTATCTTGCATGATAAGGTTATCAAAATCTCAAGATAGGCCACATAATAAATACCCTGTCCAAATTATTTTCATTATGGCGAATAATTATATGTATTTGAAATTGAAATTTTTTCAATAAAATCAATAAATACCTACTGGGGAATACGGCTAATTCTTATTTTTAATATTTTGAAAATCTCTTTTTTTTGTAAAAGCTTTCGCAATTATTTAATTGCTTCCTCAGTTACAAAAGTTGAGTTAAACTTAATACATCTAGCAATTAATTAATTTTGTTCTTGTGGTCCAAAAATGCTGACAGATTTTGAATTTTTGACTTCAAAATCCATCAATGTTCTATCAAGAGTATTTCAACTTACTTGACGGTTTAGGTACTGCGAAACATAGCAATTTACTGGGAGATTTTAACTTTTAACTCATGTTTTAAATTTTTTTGCATTGGTGATAAGAATATAAATATATTTATGCTGCAATTTCCTAACATGTATGACTTTTATGGCAAGAAAATTCTATGAATAGATTTTTGGATTTATTACGGAATGGCCACAGTGTGTCCAGATCTGATAGGCCACTGATCCATGGAGATGAGATTCATATTACCCCGTCCTGATCCATACTCACATTAACGGTAAAAATATTTTTGCTTTTTATCAGTTAGTTTCAGATTGCGAATGGTCCTTGTCATGTTATGTCCAAGATGTGTTTTTTCGGAAAATATCAGCAAAAAAAAATAAATAAATAGTGATCCTGGTTTGTGGCTGATATGTTGTTGTTTGATCGAAGGGTTATTTTCTTTTCGTTTAATAAACAACATTGAACTGATAACGTTCAAATTGTGTGTCATTTGTGAGTTTTGGTGTAACTTAATTTCGAGTAAAAATAATTTAAGATGCGTTTATAAATCACGCAAATAATTGAAATTCTCATGATAATTGGGTATGGAGATAGAATGTGGACCCAACAGGAGGGGTGTGTTTAAATCTACAACAAAGATCCAAATAATCCATCCAATAAATCAGTAGTCAGCAAAATTGAGAGAGTTTTGAGAAAATAGTTCTGTCAAAGATAAGCCAAAGAGTGAACATCCTACGATCAACGAGCAGAAAAAATTTGATGTGCTCTATTAGCTGTAGAAGAAAATCCACATTCTCTAGCACTCTTCAAAATTACTCGCGATTACGATATCCATACTTCGTCTGTGCATAAGTTTTTAAAAATAGAGAAGTGGCATCCTCATAAAATAGAATTAGTTGTATATGCTGTGCAATTAGTACACGAGTTGAATAGAGGCGATGGAGGCGATCCAGACCGAGCAATGCAATTCTGTTCAAGAAAAAATGTTCTATATTAAAATTAATCAACTTTTACATTAACGGGGGAAGTTGATAGACAAAACTGTCGCTATTGGCAGAAGAGAATCCGAAATGGATGAGAGAATACCAGATCCAATATCCTCAAAAAATTAATGCAGGGGCAGGAATCAAAAATGAGATTATTGGGCCTTACTTTTTTGAAAACATGTTCGATGGTCCAAGATACTTTTATTGTTTACAAGAGAGAAAGAAATTCCTTTTCCAGTGCTATAATTACCCGGGTTAGGGTAAAATCGAGGGTAGAATATCTCGATGATGTGACATTTTACAAAAGATGGATTGGAAGGCGTGTGGATCTATTGAATTGAATCCCGATCTAAATACCTTGGACTGTGGTGTCAACTGAAATATGTTGTAGTATTGGTATACAAAACTTAAACCTGAATCGATTGAGGATTTCAAAGCTAGAATTGGTAGAGAATGTGCTAATATCAGTCGGGAAGGTATAAATATCAGCAGGAATTTGTCGATCTGTTTGGGATACTGATGTCAGGCACAAGAAGGGTTTCAGTTTGAACATTTAAATAAGTGAAGTAGGTATATAGGTTCCTTATTTAAATATACCTATACTCGAAATCAACTTTATGATCGTTACTGTTCATCATAGAAAATTATAGTTTTTCAAGAGTTTTTGTGAAAATTTGTTATGAGTGTTGTTATTTGATAGCTTATGAAAAACTAGGATAGGAATAGGCGGTCGTTTTAATCGCTCTATTTCCCCGAATAATCGTGAAATGTCATTATATAGGTCTGTTTCTGCAGAAAGCACAAACCAGTCAGAGTGAATTTCATTGTTTGAAAGTAGTTTTCTGACTGTTTTCAACCTTAGTTTTCAACCAATAAAATTCGCTCGGTCTGGTTTGTGATTTCTGCAGAAACAGAGACCTATAATATACAGGGTGTCCGGAGATAAATTCAACAAAATTTGTTCGCCTGAAAACTTTGGTTGAGTATATGAATTTTTCAACAAATATTATTCTGTTAAGGCCCATTCAATTTAGAACCTTCTGTCACTGGGAATTTTTTCGGTAAACACATTGTTTTCGAGAAAAGTTGCAGAAAAGTGTGATCGAATGATCAAATGCATACTTACCTACCCAGCGAGATTCGTATGAAATTCTACTGATGAATCGTAGGGGGCTGGAGTATAAATTCACCATCTACGATTATCAGGTACCTACAATATCATACGAATCTCGGATATGCGTTCGATCACATTGTGCCATTTTCCTCGAAAATAATGTTTCTATTGAAATAATTTCAAAAGACGAAAAGATTTCTAAATTGAATGAATATTGAAAAATAAATAAAATCGTTTATTTTGCGAATAAAGTTTCAAATATGGAAGTAAATATTAGTAAATGAATCGCCACACTACAATGGAGATAGGAAAATAAAATGAATTGTTTTATAGGTAATAATATAGTTATAGCTAATCACATAGTTTTGTAAAAATAAATATATTTTGTTGAATAGTAAAATTAAGGCGGAGGTACCTACCTATACCCTTCAATAAATAAATAAATATGTACATAAATTTGGAAATCTAAATCTGGGGATAACTAAGTACCTACTAAAAGCAGGTTAATTGCGTTATGTTATAAGGTGCGGTAATGTTAGGAGTTGAAATTGTTACATTGAATTTCCTTAACTTTAAAGTGATATGAAATTAAATTGTTTTATTATAGGTATTGATAATTATAAAATAATATATTTTGTAATTATTGTTACATTTAGGCCCGGTTCATTCATCCTCAGATTAAACTTGCTGTTAATTATCTGCAAGATAAATTTACCTATCTATAATTCCATTGGTCGGCGGATAACTGACCGACCAATGGGATTACAGATTGTGTTTTTATGCGTCAGATTGCATAAAGTATTTTTCACAATAATTGGTACCTATCGAGTTGTCTAGGAAAGTTGTCGATTTTCAAAAAAAAAAAAATCCTACCGAAATAAATTTTTCAGGGATGATAGGGGCGGGTGGGTGATCATAAAACCGAAGATATCACCCATTCACCCCTCTGAAAGTGCGCCATTGGCGATTACTTGGTACCTCTTGATTTTACAAAAAAATATTTCAAATAAAAGATGTGCAACATTGTTTGATCTACAATGTTTATCTAAAGACTTTTTTGATTAAGGGCCGTCTGTGGTCATAAGGGCCATTTGAAATTTATAATGAAAATAACAAATTTTAGCCAACGTGAAAAAATTTTCTACAACGCATACAACGATTTTGCTTTGTGAAATTTTCACTCACCCCCTGCCGTTTTTCAATAGGGGTAGTTTGAAGTTTTTTTATTTTTTTACAAAACAAAATTCTCAATAAAAGTTTTATAAGATTACACTTCCTACGATTTTTCCCAATCAACTTTTTTTGTAACTCACCCCCATTCAGCGGGGGGACACTTCCCTTAGGGAAATTTTAGTTTTTAGGCGTATATATTAATTTTTTTTTCTTTTCTCGCTTTTAGTGCATATAAAATGTTTCAATTAACATTGTATTAGAAGGATTTTTTTTCCACCACCTTTTTGTTTTTAGGGGTAGTTCGCCTATTTTCAACTTTACAAAAAAAAATTATAAAGAAAAGTTGTTCAAAATAATAAAGTTAACAAGTTTTCAAGAGGTCAATAAGATAAATAAGAAACAGCAAAATTTTATATTTCTTATTTTTTGCTTTTGTTTTTTAAGAGCGGTAGGGGCGCCATACGTTTAGGAGCGGGGGGGGCGTCGCCCCCCCCCCCTGCCCCCCACTGGCTACGCCACTGGTAACCCATTGTGTTCATGGCCGAGCTCTTTCAAAACACCCGTAGTTAAAAGGAGTCAACCATTTGTTAAAAATACTATACCTACCTGACAGTTTATCACAAGGTGGATAAACCGGTCCTAAATGGGATAATCCCCTCAATAAATAAATGAAATAAATTAAAAAAAAAAACAACAATAGGAAATAGGTAATAAAAATCACAATCACAGTCAAAAAACCGTCGTATTTTTCTACCACACACTTCGGTTTTGGAACGACGTGTTTCATCGCGGCGATGAAAACAGACGAGAAAGAACGTAGTGTATGGGGCCCTTAAGAAATCATGCGCCTAGCTTCACGGTACCCTTACAACTCTCAAGAATAATGACGATGTTCAGTCTCCTTTTGTCCTCGCCCAGAGTGTGGGCGGTTGGTTTAAGAGCTCAAAGAGCTTCACCGGGTGGTGCACTAGAGGCGTGTAGAGACCAAATTTTGGCTCACCTCCGCGAGTAAAAACCGAGATTCATCGCCATCCGTGGATTTGTTTGCGTCTTTTTGACTAAGCCGGCTTAGATTCCTAGATAAACAGAAGGTTCACGCGTGGTAACGTTGGCAAAATGGCGGCCAGAGTCTGAGACTCGTGAAAACGCTGTTTGTTTTGACAGAAAAAGGTTATATCCGGTTTCAGCGATTGCTCTAGGCAAATCCTGAATGTGCCTTTCACATAAAGAAAAATTGAAGATAGAAGAGATTGAAACGAATCTGTGTTTGGAACATGGCCCTGAGCCAGATGGCTTTCTGAACACAATCAAATGTGCTGGCAAATTGCCCTATTGGGAGCAGAAGCCAAGAACCCCAGGAAAGAAGAAGAAGAAAGAATGACCATGTTACACAACATAACCTCACATTTCCATCTACCTGCCTTGGCTGACAAGAAATTTTTAAAAATCTATTTATTTCTATCTTCTGGTAAATAATATTCCCATTGAAAATCTATGAATATGACTGCGAAAGATGAAAATCAAAATGAATCACGAGTGCCACATCAATGGATGGTACATATTTATTCAACAACAAACATGTAGGTATTTTAAACATACTTTATTTTTAGATTAAAGAATGCCCAATTTACAATCAAGAATATAGTGATTGTACATCCATAAGAGCTAGATTGCATCAATGGTTTGTATTTGGCCAACTTGTGGATTGTGGACAGTGGAAAAGGGACTCTTTGAATTGCTGCAGATGGGTCGAAGAGAAGGATGTCAATGCTGCAGTAAGTTCAATTGAATAAATTGATCAAATGGATTTTAATGTTTCTTTTTAGAAAGAATTAATTGAAAGTGAAAAGAAAAGAAGAAAAGAAAGGCTTCTGGCACACTACAGAAACAATGTGTGGACAAAACGAAAGTCACCACCAGAAAACTGGAATGCCCCTTTACCCGATGAAATACAGAAAGAATACGAGTCTACCTATCTTTATGTAAAATCCAAGGAAATGAAAGGGGAAGCACCACCAACTTTTGACCCTAATATGAGTTTTTGTACGATAATGTGACATGAATGAAAAATAGTGTAGACAATCTGTGAAATTATTTAATAGATTTATTTATGTAGTGTTTGAAAATAAAACAAATGTTCATATATTCCATTTACATTTTACATAACATAATTCAACTCTTATTACCTACTACTTAATATTATCTATACTCCTAAATTCTGATATCCCTTTTCCGACGTTGAACAAAAAATCGAATGGCATATCCTCTGAGTTAGAATCAATAATTCTCAAGCACTGATTGATATAGTCGCTGATATATTTTTCATCATTTAGCTTTAATGCATTAAAGTCTGACATCATATATTTATTTGTAAATTGTGCCAATTTCGAATAAACTGAGCTAAATGCTTCATCTAGATCAAATAATTCCAGGCAAGGGGGTGGCAATTCTCTAAAACATGGCGGAAATACTGCAGCTTGAAGAGAAGGATATGGTGCTTCAAATTTTGGTGTTATAATTTTTAAAGGTGCATGCTTGATGCCTAATTCATCATATAATTTTACTGTACCAAAAACTAAAAGGGTATTTATTGAATGAACTTGATGATTAAATAGTGTTGTGTAGTCGACGATAGAGGTATTACTGACAACATCTGTGAGACAAAGTTTAGCTTTTTCAGCTAATTCGGCTGTTTCAGGCACAATATTTCTGTCAGTTACTTCAAGATCGTCATGGTCTGATGGCAAAAAGTGTAGAGTTTCTGAATTATTTAAAAAATCCAATAATATTTCTCTAAACATGTCATTGTTTTCTTGATCAATATATTTATCATTAAACATATCTCCTGAACCAATAGCAACAAGCTTTCCTCCACTTTTTTCATTGTAATACAAAGCTCCTAAAGGACAATCCACTGGAAATGATGAAAATCCACTCTTGAAACAGACAACACAGGGCTTCATAACATTCATTGTACATCCAAAAGGATAAATCAACTTTATATCAAATTTATTCTTATTTATTGTTGTGTTTATTTGACCATCGACAATGTAGCACTCTTTGGGATGGAAATATTTATAATAATGGGTACGAATTAGGCAATCAATATTAGGAACAATCCCAAAATTTTCCAGAAGAATGTGTATGTTGCACTGATCGTTTTGAGAACCTTCAGTGAGAAGCACCATCATTTTACCACCTTCTTGAACATAATTTTCCATAACTTTAAGTTCAGTCCCTTCGAAAGACGCTTGAGAAGCTGGTAAGATTAACAAATTGCAATTTTTTAGCAAATCTGGAGTAATTTCTTCTCGGTTTAATACAACTTTGGCCACTGATTTTAATTTGCGGCAAAAACTCTTGTAGTTCTCATTCATTTTGAACAATTCTTGTTTTGAAGCATTGAAGATCACTGTGTTTTTATTATGCGCGCTTTCCATTTCGGGGTTGGATTCAAAATAGGGCATTATTTAACGCAAAATTTTGTAAATTAGTATATTTTCTGACCCTGATGTGGTGGGGAATGGGGATTGAGTTTGAATTTAAGAAGCTGGTTGCTAGGCAACTAGTGTGAAATTTGGCAACGTTGTGGAATCCAGGGTAGGCTTTTGAGGATGTACGGAAATTATTAGTTAAATCCTTGATTGAGAATATTGAAACCACTCAACAAAAACTTTGTTGCAATAGGAAAAAAAACTTATAAAGATGGCTCTTGAAGCTTTACTATCCATTTCCAGTATTTCCAGGCGTTCGGAAAAGAGAGATCTAGCGTACCGAAGTCCGAAGACTGAAGAGTGTAGCCTCAAAATGATTTTTGCATCATCAACCATGTTTCCGAACGCGTCCCCGCTGTTTAACTTATGACAGACAACTAAGGCCAGACAGGACAGAGCTGACAGATGTCAAATGAGTTTCCCTCCCAGTATTAAACCCATTTAAAAATACAAGATTTATTTCACATAAACCCCATATATCTTGTTTTCCTAAAATTAAGTCTATTGATAGTACAAATTTAATGAACATATCCGCTATAAGCAAATGCCCCGTTCCTAATAATAATTGTGTATAAACTGTGTCAATGCACTGAGCTTGTGTTAAAATCATAGGGTTAAGAAATTTCAAGGTTGTTTGTGCCTTTTGTTAAACGACTTCAGTTTTTGCCCTCTGTGATTTAATTGCTGCTGAAAATGGCGAATAAAGACGACTATTTGACCAGCTACCGGAAATTTTTCGAGTATTTTGCCCAAACAGTGAATCCCAATGACCAATTACCTGTCAAGCTCGGTTGTTATAAATTATTGAATGTAGAAGTGATTGGTGGAATAATTGATTGGACTACCCAGTATTTATCGCAAAAGTAAGTAAAAAGCAAAGAAATGTTACTGTATAACCCAACTTACCTGCTTTATTGAACTTTATGTGTTTGTTTATTTAGAATGTTGTCAGAATGTCACAAAAACAAATTTGTTTTGTTCCATACAATTTTGAGTTGTGCGTCTGAGTAGTGCGCAGGTTGAAAAATATTTTATTTTTATTTTAGGTAAACATAAACAGGAGCATAAACACATCATTTTATAAGGCATTTTCATACTAGAACTAGACAATAGAGTCATTTTACACTTTTTTTTTTTAAGTTACTATGAACATTGAACAAGTTTAGAACCACCAACTTAGGTAGACAACTGCGGCAAATCGAATTGTCACTATAGGAACCTAGAATTTGCCGCTTGCCGGTTAATCAGAAAAATCAAAACAAACAAAATATAATAATATACATAATTATATGGGTAACCTTGAAATAATCAACATTACAAAAATGTGCACACAATCGATGTCGATTTATAACTTTCTCAATTAGTGGAATTTAAGTTGAAAATTTCAGGATACGTTTAAGTTAAAGGGCCAATAGAGGTACCTACTCAACGCCACCCTTGAGGTTGGCTGACAACCAGGCTACAGATTAAAAAATACATTTAAAATAAACTTAGAAATACATATTCAATCCATAATATTACAAGCCAGGGAATATGAGTCAACGTATGAAGGATGCATAATTTAAATCAATACAATAAAAATTTAAAAATAAATATGTACATTACAATCTAAAAATAAAAATATTTCCTCGAACATTACAATAAATAGCCAAGACTAGGCGAGGTGCAAGAACGATCAAAATACATAAAACCTTAAGTGACATCATTAAAGAACTCGTTCAAACTATAGTATGCTTTGCTTGTCAGAAATTTCTTTACTTCTATACGAAGCCTCTACACAATCATCTCACCCCTCTACACAATCATCTCACCCCTCTACACAATCATTACTGAATCACAGACAATCATTCACAATCAGAACACAATTAGTCACAATTTGTCATAATTGTTACACATTTTTTCACAATCTTTACACAATCACTACACAATCTACCACCATCTGTCACATGTGAGGTCCCTCAAAATAATTTTAGTTCACTTTATTTTCAATCCCAATCAGTTGCAATCATTACACAATTAGTCACAATCGTAGACAATCATCCAAAATCTTAGCTAATTTCCTCAAATATTGTGGAATTTGGCAAACGGTTCACACATTTTGGGTCAGCTATTCATCCTTCGACGCAATCATTACAGAATTCCAGACAATCATTCACAATCAGAACACAATTGTTCACAATCTGTTACAATCATTACACAATCTATCAAAGTGTCAAAACCATTATTAGTATTTCCTGCACATAAATAATTGGGTACATCATGAAATTCCTATCTGCTTTAATATTATTCTCCGCTCTAGTATATATATTATTCTCTACCATGTGCCCTCTTTTTCTTTTTCTTTTCTTTCCTTCTTTTCTCTATTTTTCCACCTCCTTCTTCTCTTTCTTCGTCTTACAGTTTAAATATCAAGTGCGTTACTTGATTTTCATATTCATAGATCTTAGATAAGCCTTTCTTTATATTTTATTTTAAGCAATTTTTTGGGGCCTCAACAGCACTCATGCTTGCGTGGGATGCTGCAAATATGGCCTATTATTCCCCACATTTATCTTAGTTAACTGTTTGGAATGTAATTTTTCTGGAGATAATAAATATTATTATTATTATTATTAGAAAATCTCTCACAGTGTACCAAGCAAAAACAGCGGTCCAAGGACATTTCATTGAGGGACGCCATAAATGGTTTTACGTTTTTCAGAACAAAAATTGTTACACCTTACTATTTGATATCTTTCTGATAAATAAGATTCAAAAATTGATAAAACCATTCCGTTAAGTCCGAGGGGTAGGTGAAGGTCACTCCCCAAATGTTAAAATGTAATTGGAAGGATACATCTAATTACGCCAATTACCTTGGAATTACGTTAATTACCATGGAATTACATTCAATTACACTCAATTACATTCAATTACATTCAACATTCAATTATATTCAATTATGTATGTCTATCAACTTAGCGAGACTACTTTGAAAAATCGATTTTCCATTTTGCCAAGAATATGCCGCTTTTTTGCCGCTAATTAAATGTGGAATCAAGGAGTCAAGGCCGCGGAACACAAGAAATTGCAAGAAGATCTCAGAGCTATAGAAGTGTGGTCCAATACGTGGAAAATGAGGCTAAACGAAGAAAAATGTACTATCTTGAGCATTGGAACCAACACCACTGAGTATGCCTACAAAATAAACAATGTCGAGCTGAAGCATGTGAGGGAGCAATTGGATCTAGGTGTCATAGTAACCTATAATCTTAAATGGGAGATGCACATATCAAAAATTGCCAAAAAATCCAACTCATACATATACCTTGTGAAAAAGGCCTTTGAAGACCAGTCGTGCAACACCATTATGAAACTGTATAAATCTTTCATACGTCCAAAACTAGAATACGCCCACTCAGTTTGGAATCCGTACTTCATAAAGGATATCGAGATACTAGAGCGAGTGCAGAGACGAGTAACAAAAATTCCACCATCACTCCGTAATCATTTATCATTTATCATTTATTTCCAAAAAAAATTAAATACAAAATTTAGACAATTCCTTTTGTACACGATTAACCTTTCGGTTTGATGATTACCTTACTCGACTATCCACCCTGGGACTCACTTCTTTGAGGGAAAGGCATCAGAGAGGAGATCTGATCGAGACATACAAGATTATTCGAAATGGCTACTCCTGTAACCTTGACATCTTCACCTTCAATAACAACCCCCATCTACGAGGTCATACTTTGAAGTTGTGCAAGGAAAAAACCGCCAAGCTTCCAAGAAGAAACTTCATAGCAAATCGAATTGTCTACCCATGGAACAGCCTGTCAAATTCTACAGTCACCGCCCAGAGTCTGAATTCTTTCAAGAATAAGGTCGACACCGATATGAGTGCATTACTCCATGTGGATATTCATTATGGACAATAAGTTCTTACCAAAAACACGACGATAAACTTACAAGTAATCCAATAGTTTCATCAGTGTAAACTGCTTACTATTGTATCATAATAATAATAATAATAATAATAATAATAATAATAATAATTAAAAAATTTGCCGCTCTTTTGTTTTTTTCTTAATTACGTGTTTTGCTAACTTGACGTCAAGATAGCGAGACAACATCACTAAATACGTCAGCAGTAAAAAAAAAGGTAGGTGAAAATTTGCCGTTTTTTTGCCGCTAATTAGTTGTGAAAACCAAAAAATTGCCGGTTCTTTTTTTTTCATAAAAAATCAAGTTTGGAAAAAAAAATCATTTGTTTCGCTAACTTGACGTCAAGTTAGCGAGACATTATCACTAAAAATGTCGGTAGTGAAAAATTGAGTGAATGGAAATTTGCCGTTTTTTTGCCGCTAATTAGTTGTGAGAACCAAAAATTTGCCGCTTCTTTTTTTTACAAAAAATCAAGTTTGAAAAAAAAATCATGTGTTTCGCTAACTTGACGTCAAGTTAGCGAGACAATATCACTAAAAATGTCGGTAGTGATAAGTTGAGTGAATGGCAATTTGCCGTTTTTTTGCCGCTAATTAGATGTGAAAACTAAAAATTTGCCGCTACCTTTATTTTCATAAGAAAATCGAAATCGAATCGAAAATAAAATACCTAGTGTTTTGCTAATTTAACGTAAAGTTAGCGAGATCACTAAAAATGTCGGTAGTGATAAATTGAGTGAGTGGAAATTTGCCGTTAATTAGCTCTTTTTCGATAAGAAAATATCGCGTTTGAAAAAATATCATGTATTTCGCTAACTTGACATCAAGTTAGCAAAACAGTATCAATAAAAATGTCGGTAGAAAATTTCATCCATCTGTCAAAACTGGTATTCGAACCATAAACTGGGCTACTATGTCATTTGCGCGACAGTCGTTTGTGCGAGGAAGAAAAGCGCGATACTAAAAGCGCGAGGGACAAATGCGCGACGGAACAAAAACGCGACTGCATAAAAGCGCGAGAAACAAAGGCGCGAGCGAGAAACAAAA